TCAGCACGCCGCCTCCCCCATCACTGTCTGTGTCAGACCTCACGTCTGGGCCGGCGTGGATTGATTTATTTTTGGCAGTACTGAGGGAGCCCGAGTGAGATAAACACGTTCATTCAGCTTAGCGTTTTAATTCTCCAGAGGGACAGAGATTGATCGCCCTGGCCATCACATCCCTAGCCTAAACCTTTGTCTGGAGGGTCATTTTTCTCTCTGTTAGCAGCCTCCTCCCCAGTAAACCGCTCCACCCCATCCCATTCCCATAGCCCCCTTCAGTCTTTCCACGCTCTCCTGGCATCCTAGCCATCACAGGGGGCTGTTTGTTAAGCCATTCAGGCACCCATACCCTCCCAGCCTGCGGTAAATGTAATTTACGGAGCCAAACGAAAAGGCTGCAAACAAAGGTTGAATTCTAACAGGCCTCCGGGTCTGTTGCTAAGTGATGGAATTGGCTTTCATACAGAAAACAAGGCCGTTCTTTTTCTTTCTCTTCCCTCCCTTCCCCTTATGCGCCAAGAGATATTCTACTAATAACATTAGCTTGCTCGCGCTGAGTGGCCAGTGCATGAATGTTTAGACCTTTTAAGAAAGAGAAAGCAGGCTTTAGTTGGCTAATCTGTAGTATTTGGCAAGTAAAATGCAGGTATTTAGTCTTGGGCATTGGTTGCCAAGGAAACAGGCCTAAGCTTTTCCTCTGTGCATAAGTGATTGAATTTTGTATGCGCGCCATGCGTCATGTTCATATAGATGGACAAAATGGGCATTCACGGACAGGGACAATTGCTGGTTTGTACAGAAAAGAGACCGTCCCTTCATGGGAAGGGGAGCAGTGTAATCAAGGAAGAGTTGGCACTGGGGGGGATTGTTTTTTTGTTTTTGTTTTGTTAAATAAAAAGCTCAGCTATAAATAGTGGATCTGAAATAATATAGACCGGGGGAGGAGGGAGAGATGAGCCACGGAGGGAAAATAGCTTGAAAGGTCATTAGCCAAAGTTCTGCCCCAATTTCAGCTGCCAGAGAGACTGCCAGGCCTTGATTAAAATGAAATAAATAAAAAGGGCTCTGAATAGAAGGACCTGGGTGATTGGGCTGTGGGTACGTGTACGTTGGCCGCGTTAGAAGGCTCTTAAAATAGTCCCAGACCTGAGATCAGCTGGCATTGGAGCATACATCAGTGTTCTGTTGTGCATGAGCAGGGTTTGCTGTACGCTCCCTCTATGCTGCCAGCTAACGTGCTGGAAAAATCCATCTCCTCTCCTCTCTCTTTTCCTCTTGCTCCATCTTCCACGACCATCAGACAGTCCCTTTGGTGCTGCCTGTTTGAATGTGGGGAGGACTGATTGGTCTCCCAGTGTAGCAGGGAGACGCACGAGGGCGTGAAGCAGCGCAGCAGAGAATGCCACTGGAGCGTAACTTTTTACGTGCCAGAGAGAGGATCCGAATGCCGTACCCATCAGCCCGTCCCAGCAGGGCCTGTGCTCTGAAGCTGAGCTCCTGAGAGATTCGACATTGGAGGGAGTCTGTCTCTGTCCTCTGAGAAGTCACTCACAGGGGCACCAGAGAGGATGCTGCTCTCTACCCTGGAACATCAGGCCACAGCCGTAGCCTTTGTCTCATGCCATCCTTTCCCTTCTTAGGGAAACATATGGAAGCCATTAAAACTAGGGAAGGATTGGCTGTCGGGCGCCAGAAACTGGTATCCAGCGTGATCTGCTGGCTCAGGGAAGCAGCAGCCTGTGGAAACGATTGTCCATAAAATGTGGTGTCCATCGGGCTTCAAGCTCTGTGCAGACACCAAAGCCCCTTGGTTGAGATGCTGATGCCCCCCTGCAAGCGGGTTGGGGGAAGCAGTTGGGGAGATGTGGTTGCTGTTTCACTGCAGTACTCATCCTGACAGTAAAAGCTGAGGGGTCGGGAGTCTTGACAGCTACAGAGTGCAGACTGTCCAGGTCTGCTGAAACACGCAGCCGAGCCTTCCCATGAAAGGATCCCTGTCAGCAGAGTACACTTGATGTTGAGAGACACTTCCCAGTGCACCAGGCCCCGCCAGAAGGGAGAGCGAGGGCCTTGGGAAATGGAAAAAGGTGCAATTCTGTGAGGCAGCGCAGCCTGGCGGAAAGCCGCCCCTGTTCTATGGGAGCCAGCTGTTCGGCGTTTGGGCCACCGCTGTAAGCGGGGCTCTGCGAAGGCTGGACCTGCTAAAGGGATCCTGCCCATGTCGCCTCCGGGGAACGAAGAGACGTCATCCTGCTGCCATTGATTTACGGGGAACGGGGCTGGGCTTTGTCAGTCACCCCAAAAAAGTACAAGACAAGGGCAGTAATGAATTGTGTGAGGGCCTGGAAGGGGGTGGGGGTGGGGACAAAGGCTTCAGAAAAAGACGAGGAAAATATAAGGCAACTCAGGTGAGCTAAAAATAGCCTGGGACATGGAATTGCCAGACTGGATCAGCCCCAAGGTTAGGGATGTTAAATAGAGGTTACTACGCTAATTGAGTCGTCAATGGAATTTCCATCGACTACTTGATTAGTCAATAGGGGAGTTAACTCCTGGGGTGGCGCACATTGGGACTGAACAGTCCCAACTCACACTGGCTCTGGGTCTGCTGCGCCTCTGCTTCTTAAATGTAGTAAGTCATCAGGCTCTTACGACATTTAAAAGGCAGAGTTGCAGCGGGGGACCAGGTGTGAGCCAGGACTCCGCTGTCCTGGCTCGTGCCTGGTCCCAGACTGCTGCGGCTCTGCTTTTTAAATGGTATCCCACTGCACCTTTGCCTCCCCTGCCCACCTGCAAAGACAGTACTGGGGGGAACCGGCTTTTATTAGAGGCACGTGAGGGCAGGGGACTGGATTTGATGATCTCTCAAGGTCCCTTCCAGTTCTAGAATTCCATGATTCTAGAGTGGGTGTGCATGTCCATGTGTGTGTATGGCCATAGATTTGTAGACTGTAATGCCAGAATGGCCCATTAGGTTCATCGTCTGTTCACTGTGGTACAGCACAGGCCCAAGAACCTAACCCCAGCACATCTGCTATAGTTCGTGCTATAGACTCTCCATGTAGATAGTGTATCTTGAGTGTGTCTCTGATCAACAGGTACATTTCAGTCCCTGCACCTACTCTGGTCCTCCTAACTCTGTGCTGTCCAACCCATTCTGAAGTTCGCTATAACAAACTACACTCAACCGGCCAAATAGTCATGTGTCTAGGGACTAGCATGTTGGACACTATGGCTCTAGCTGATTTTACTAGCTACTTGGGGGCTTAGAGCTGCATCTCTCTGGAGATCCCAGATGCGGACGGTAGCCCTTGAAATGAAGTTACAGTGGGGAGGGTAGTTGGTCCATCTCAGACTGGAGGAGAGCTGCTTGTGTGTTCAGGGACAGCACCTGTGTTAACTCCTGATGGTTTGTGTCGTAGGGCATGGCCGCTCAGATGACGACTGTGGGGAGGACCGCACCCGCCATCGGGACAGTCACTTCTTGGCAGGGCGTTTGGAGCGAGACCAGGAGAAGCTGCTCCGGTGAGGTTCTGGGTTTTGCTCCTTCAGGCATGGACTAGGCCGACTTGCGAAGCACACGGGGATGCACCTAGCGAATTGTGCTTGAGTGCCTGGCCATGTATCTCTTGAGTGAAGTCTCAGATTTAATCAGCAGCGTGGCAGGCACGTGTGTTTGGGCTGAGCCAGCACTCTGGGATCAGTAGCCTTG